AAAGATTGGAAATGATAGAAGGTAGACTTGAAAATATTCCATCACATGGCGTATCCACTTTTAACAATAACAATAATGGTGATCAATCATCTTTAATTGATAAAGATTTCAATATTCCTCTTGACAAYATAATCGATCTTGAAATATTTGAAGACAAAATTTCTGACAATAAAGAATTCCGTAATAAATTGGTAATTATATATATATTAAATAATAATTGTTGGGTATAGTGATGGTTTTTTATACATTATATTTTTTCTTATAAAGTAAAAAAAATGTGTTTATTTTATTTTTTATGTTTAATAATTTTTTAGGTAAATGAACTTTCATACATAGGCGGTAAGCATGTTAAAGCAATGGTCAAACGGGTGATGGGAAAATTGTTTAAAGATGAATTATTAAAAGATTTCTCTTACACTGGTAAGAAAGGCAAAAAAAAATTCTGTTGCTTGGGTTGCTGTTCTGTGATTTTTGGTAAGTATTATGTTATATTATGTTATAATATTTACCATTACTATTATTACACATAATGGAATAAATTTAATAAATTTTGGTTTATAGTGATAAAATAATACACCCATACCTATATCCTAAATATATTTTTGCTATCCATATAATTATGTGTTTATTATAATACATTTGTAAATATTTTCTAGATGCTGTCAAAAAGCAAAATAAATTTAAACATTCATCTCAAAATGAAATGGAGGATATCATCAAATATGTCCTTGCTCAAGCCCCATTTAATTTAAAAAGAATTTCGGACAAGAATTTTTCTACTTAATTATTATTATTATATAATTTTGTTTTAATAAATAACCATTATATTTTAATAACCGGCCAACCCATATAATTTTCATAAGCAGTTTTATCTTATTTTCATAAGACAATAATGTTTAAAGTTTGTTTGTATAATATAATATAATATCATTTTATTTTAATAATTTTTTTTCAATTTATAATATGTAACATATTTAATTTTCACAAGATTTGTTGGTATTATTATATTATATTATTTTATTTTAATAAATAACCATGATATTTTAATAACCAAGTTCATAAAATTTTCACAAGCAGTGATGATGATGATTAAAGTT